CCCTAGACTGTCCATCTTTGCCAATGTACCTTTTTTGTCGCTTGCCAAGACCAGAACTTGTGCAGTTTAAAAGCTGCTTTTAAGCTTCCACTGATTTCAGTAAGGGTTGTACTCCACCCTTTGAGAATCTGTGGTCTCACTTGCAGCCAAGCCAGCCCAGCACGGTGAGGTCTGTGCACTTCAAAGAGACCACATCAAATGCTAAAACCCCATAACTTCAAATGTCGTGCAAGTAAGTGTTTGTTGCTTTGCCCAACCCACGTGAAGAAAGAACGAGTTAAGGGTCCAGTGGATATTCAAACCAGTGTAAAGATATAAAATCTTTGCGTTCTCATCAGGTGACTGTAAAAACATAGGATTATGTGCAAATAGTTGCGGCTATACTTTCAACATTTCAAGTCTACTGCACAGTCATCCACAGCCAAGAATCCTGGAGATGTCCCTAGGTGTCTGTCATTGGTTTACTTGTTTTCCGCTTCCTAAGTTGTCTAAATGACCCATCTTTTATTGAGGAGGCCGATAAACTCCTTTGAAATTGTATTCATGTGGCAAAGTAGCATAAAATAAATGTCAGAGGACTATTTAGACAAAGCTAGCTACTGGTCCTGTTCCTGTCCTGGTCCTGTTCTAGCAAGCTCCTGGGCATGTCTGTCACTCTGCCTTTGCAGCAAGTTCCTGGTTATTCCACCGACACAAGAATTCGCCTGCAACCTTTTTTCATTTTGCTATAGATTTCTCTGAAGAAAAATTAAAAGGTAGACTCCAGCTTTGGTAATAGTACCAGAGCAAGACATTTGCTGTCCGATACGTAAACTGGAGACATGCTCTTGCTGCAGTTACAGTCAGTAGGGTCAGGCTCACATACATACCTCTGAAGGCAACAGTACTTACTTGGTGGTGTCTTTCCGTCTGCCAAGGTGCTGAGGGCTACGACGAGGATGATGGAGAGTGCACAGATCACTTTGAGATCCATTGCTCTTGGAAGGTGGTGGAGGAGAGGTGCCGCTCTCCCTGGGAGCAGCTCGTTTTATACACTCCTCGTGTTTGCCCGGCAAGGTCTGATAACATTGTTCCATCTGATGCTTCACCCAGAGGTTGGGGTTTCTTTTGTTTAATTAGGAAATGTTGCCATGCATATTTTGATATCCCTGAGATAAATTTCTAGGCTCGCGTGAGCTGTTGATCACGTATCTATTATGTACCTATAGATATATATCTATTACGTGATCCCATAATCTATTACATGGGCGCTGCTGGGTGCCTCTGGCAGCCCCAGCTGATTTAATTGCCATTTGAGTATTCCAGACCTCTGGGCAGCTTTAAATGGTTGCCACCACTGAAAAATATGTACATACATTTCCTATCCAAGTGTATCTTTTCTGCCTCTATTATTCCCTGGCCTTAAGGTTTTGGTTATGCTTCCTCTGAAATGGGTAAGGCAGGAGGGCTGGCGGTGTGACATCTCCAAGCTTTGGGAGACCACAGGGCAAACCGTGCACCTGAAGAAATATGTAAATACAGAAAGTGGAAAGTGTGACTGTGAAATACTGAGCCTGGTTGAGGCCACTGTTCCTTTCCACACATGGGGCAATTTGCACCAGTTTGGAACAGGAAAAGAAGGTAAGATCAGGAAAAAAAAACGAAAACAAAACACAAACCCCAAGAGGCACACCAGCATAGAGACTCAAGAGAGGAAAGGAGAGTTTATATATGATCTCAGCCTGACCTACAGGCCTTGCGCTCATCCAGGGGTCAGACCCAAGTGCCCCAAACGATGTTTTGGAGTTGCTGTCCTGCACAAGAAGGAAGGTCAGGCTCCTGGACCAGACCCGCTCCCAGCTTGTGGCTCCTGCCCCAGGGGGGCTGCGGTGGGGGCTGCCCCCATCCCCTCTGCCCGGTCCCCAGAGCAGCATATTGCTTAACAACCCATCCAACACCACGGGCACGTAGTTTGCCAAAAACAAACTTCTGGAGCACTACATTTGACCTCTTAAATTGCCGATTGCTTTTCTCCTAGTTTCAAAGGTGGCCTCTAAGGCAGTCCCTGCGCTGTTTCAGGTCAACAGGCCTTGGGACTTGGACTGCCCAGTCAGGATTTAATCTCCCTTTTGGACATTTTTCTACCATTTACTGTAACATTTCTTTATGTCTAGCTATTGCCCAATGCTTGAACACAAGCAGAGCAGTGCCAGGGAGGGGGAGACAAGCAGTGGGATGGTGGGACCATCTCTGCACCCTCCTCAAAAGAGGCACCTGCAGAGTGGGCAGGGCTGGCTGCGGACCCCGTGGTGCTCTGCAGCGTCCCCTTTCCCATGGGAAAACCACCAGGGAATTCTTCCTGTTCATCACCAAAAAAGGGATGCAATGCATTTTTTGATCTTTGACAGAATTGTGTCTTCATGCCTTTGATTATTATATACGAGTTTGTTTGGTGCCTCTTCCCTTGACAAAGTTCAAAGCAAGAACTTTTAACTTCTATCGTTGTGTTTTGAAAGTAATTTGTTTGTTCAGAAGTATTTTGAACCCAGTTGGAGGGATTTTGGTCTACAAGGGAAAAAATAATAGAGCTCATTTTCCTTCTGTTTAACTTATTTAATACTTTATGGACTTTATTTACATCCATCCCTATTTAATATATGGATAGAACTTCTCACTGAAAGTCAAGATTCGTAAACCAGACATTTTGTGCATCCTTTATTCCACAAGATACCAAGCTGCAGGCAGAAGAAGACTGTGTTCCAGCGCTCGGCAGTTCATGTCACTTTTACCTCCATCACTGGGAGAAAAAGTCAGACTTAAAACTTAAAAATCCAGTTTTCTCCTGGCATGCAATTTCAACAGTCCACCTGAAGACCCACCATGACGCCTGGCCGAGTGAAGTCATTAGTAATTTTTCCATCAGCTTTCTTCTCACGGTGCAGGGGGTGAGATTGGCTGAAATGTTGCCCATGCACGAGAGGAAAGAGGTCATCCCAAGGGGGGGACCATGCTACTTTCAGACCTCCATGGAATTCTCAATAGATTATCAGCCCATCACGTGAGTCAGGTGAAACTGCCGATAATGTTCCTTCCTCCTGCTTCTTACTGGACATTAATTAAGTCCTTATCCATTGGCTGTCACCTCTTGGGCCCAATCCCAACTGCATGCACAAAGGCAAATCTACCACTGAGCTTTTGCTGCGGAAAGACCATTTGATTGGCATCTTAAAACAAACACACTGAAAGAAATAAGCTTCTTGCTTTCTGCCAGCGGATTACTTTAAGATCTTTAATATGTTTATATAGCAAAGCCTTGAAAATTATCTGGGGTTTCCCTGTAAATGTGTTTCTTTCCCTGAGGCTGGCACCTACCCAGACCTTTTGGTAACTCGGTGCAGGGAGCCCAGGCTCTGCAAGTGCCCACAGCCAGAAGGGGATTGGAGGGCTCCTTCCTCCTCTCCAGCCTCTGTGTCCTCCCTATCACCTTCCTCCTGTCCCACAGGGCTTTTTAGCTGAACTGTGGTGCTCTCCTTTCCTTCCCAGCAAGGAAACGGAGAAATCATGACTGGTATGGACCTTCTTGCTGCAGATCAGCAACAGGCTGCAACTTTTTATTCTGATACTGCAGAACTTTTAAAGGATGTGGGTATTTTTTTCTTTTTATTTTCACTTAAAATTGAAGAACCAGCAATTGACAGTACAACTTTTTCATCCTAAAGGGAGTTTTTTGTCCTAAAGGGAATTTTCTTTTGTGGTAACTGTTAGTATGAGTGCTGACCTGAGAAATCTGTCATTGGGCCAACACCAGTGCGTGTGAGCCCATAAAATAAATCCCAACTTTCGAGTTCTCCATAAAATAAGTCATCATAAAAGAGAAAAAAAAATGGAGACAAAGGACAGGGGAGTCTTCAGCAATTTTCTTCCTTCCAGCTGTGCTAGGGGCACTCAACAGATGGAGGGACTCAGGAGCAGGGACAGACTGACACCACCACATAGGTGAACCTCACTACCTGCCACTCATTCACTGCAATGCTGTTTTTAGTGTTTCTAGAAACCATAGTAATGAGTAGTACTCTCCTGCTTTATCACTAGGCTTACTGTTTGCCTTGCTTCACAATGGCCACTGGTGCCCTGCCGTGTCTCCCTTCCTCCATCCCCTCACATGAGGGGTGATTTGGGGAACAGGCAGAGCAGGTGCCTGCTCTCCCCCACCATATGGCCTTTAGAACCACAACATTTTAAAGGGTGTATTTTTCAGGGTGTTCTTCCCATAGGCCCCATAGGACCACGTTGTGGGGCTGCTCTACTATGACTAATTATGGCCAGGCTGGATGTGGCCTTGGGCAACCTGGTCTAGTGGGAGGTGTCCCTGCCTATGGCAGGGAGGTTGGAACTCGATGATCTTCAAGGTCCCTTCCAACTTAATCCATTCTATGATTATATGGGCAGTGTATGTGTGTGCGTACACAGGGTACCCGCACAGCGGGCAGCTGCTGCATCTGTGGGCAGGGTCTGGGCTCCCGATGTGGGGATGCTCATCTCAGCATGCATCTCTGGATGAGATGATGTGGCTGGAATTAGGGATGGGTGTCTCTTCCAGCTACTGTCCTGCAGACCCTTGTGTTTTCAACAGGCACGTTCTCACGTGCCTCTTGTCCTTGCAAGGCACGGTACAGCGGTGAGCTTCCTTGCTGCTCCTGTTAAAACCTAGAGAAAATTATACAGAGATAAAAAAAGTAGGGGGCTGGGTTTGGAAGTGTGGGTTTCTGCATGCAGCAGGGATCCCTGGGCTAATGGCAGAAATCATTCCAGTCCCCCCTAATCCCTGGTATAAATTAGAGTTACCTGGAGATTGAAAAACTTGTTATAGAATCTTTAAGCGATGTTACAGTCAATTCCTACTGTTCCTTCCTCTTCTGAGCCTGTACGTGTTTATTTCTGTGCCAAACACAGCTGGGAATGGGAATTTCAAGAAGGCAACAAGGTTTTTGGGATTGTGCAGGACTGTGCATTTGAACAGAAGCAAAAATACAAGAAAGAGGTTCCCAGTAAGATTCGCAGCTCAGCACCAGTACCAAGCATTGTGGTCTGAGATCTGCATTTGGCTTCCCTAGCAGAGGTTATCCTCTAGCCCACGTAGGAATTCCCCATGTTTTTGAAGATTAAAGGTCAATATTTTGAGAGTGTGTGGGAGGTGTCTAACCATGTTATTTTTAGATATATAGTTGTTTTAGATATAGGTCTGTTGTAAAACACACTCAAAAATCTTGTTTCCCACAAAGCAGGCAGGAGCTGTGCTGCAGCTTGGAGGTGCCCATGCAGAGCAGTACGACCTGTGCTCACTTGGGTCACCTTTGTGGGGCACAGACTGGGACTGGCTTTCCCTTTTTCTTTCAGGGTGGCCCCTATTTCATAAGCAATATCAGTCTAGCCGTGCTTCAAAGGGAAGCTTAAAAATACCACGTCTGGAAAAACACAGCCGGACCTAACTACAGTGCGTGAGAATCTAAGGCTTGAAAGTGTACATGTTGTTAAACACTGGCTGCAATATGGTACAGGTGAGATTTTGGGAAAAATTTAAGCACTCTTTTATATACGTAAGCACCTGGAGTCCGGCCAAGGGTTTTGCAGATCTCCCACTGCATGGTTGCTGCCTGCCTTACTTTTGCAAGCCACGCTGCAGAGAAACCTGTCGCATAAAAACATCAGACATCAGAGCAGGGGCAGACATGTGTCACTAGGGAAAACAGGGGCGGCACTGAGTCAAGAGAAATTGGATATAGAGGGTCATTCTGTGACCCTCACCCACACCCAAGTTTGGATATAGGCTACTGCAGCAGGTAGTGTCCCACTGCACTTCTTCTTTCCCCAAGCTGCTGAACTCATCCTCAGTGGGACCAAAAATCTGAGCAGGTCTGGAGAAGAACTACAGAAAGAGAAAGAAGCCTTGAGCTGTAAAGGAAAAAAAAAAAAAAAAAAAAAAACCAAACTAAG